TTGGTCTGTCGATCCCTGGCACGTCGGTCTCGCTGTTGTTGCACAATATGTTCGCGGTGCCGGTGGTAATAGTCCTGGTTTAGCAAGCGTACATAGGCTGCGTTTTTCGTTCGGTACCGTTGACAGGCCAGTCGGTTGAACTCTCGGGCTCTCGCCGTCTGTTCGGGTGTCGGGGCTGGTTTAGGCGGTTTGGGTGGTTTCACCTTTTTCTGGGCCGCTCGCTTATCCCGTTTCTGTTGTAACAATCTCTCTTTGTTTCTCACGTACCACTCGTGCTTCAACTGTTTCGCTTTCTCTGGATTTTTGTTGGGCATTCTCGAACTCACACTGACGTCTGTTCTGATCGACCGACTTTATCTAGGGGATTCTCCGCCAATCACGGATCTCGGTCCAGGCCTAGAGGAGATGGAAGGAGTCTGTACCCATGGGGGGACCACCCCTGATCTTCTTCCTGTCGATCAAACCCCCTCACCTGACTCTCACCTGAGCTTGGTCCACCAATCCCAGCGCAGGAGAGATCACGTGAGAAGGTCTATAAAAGTCCACGTCCAGCGCGGGAAATTTCAAATTGGTTGCCGCTGTCATGGCGGAGGCGTATCCATTCAGTGACGATGACGAAGGGGATGCTCTATTGGACCGCGCCTATGATCGGTGGGAACAGTTGGGAGGGGCTGCTGCCCGTGGCCCTCTCTTTCAGTTTACTATGCAACCCATGGGTCGACGACGCCGCTGGCGTGATGTAGTGGAGCGGGCGCAATTCAATGCGCAATTACGACAATTGCGGGATCCTGTCCCTGGAGACAATATTGGGTTGGCGTTGACCGAAGCACTCCATCAAGCTATTGAAACAGAACTGGGCCGCGAGCAGCGACCTGCCCATCATTTTGTGAATTTTGCTATCACGGCGCATGGGTTCACTCATGCTTATCAAACCGCCAATTTTACCGTGGGGGAATTTTTACAACGCACCGCCCGTTTGGATGAAATGTTAGCGACGTTAGCCGGCAAGTTGAATAGCAATGAAGCCTTCAACCCCGATCACGGTTTCCAAGTGGATGTGGTGTTTGTGTCTATGCCTGGCCCAGGAACAGGCCATCGTAAACAACGCAATGCCGGACGTCTATGCCTGGATCGAGACAACAAGAAAAAACGTTGTATCGTTACCATTCGAAACAGAGATGCCTTATGCTGTGCTCGCGCTATCGTCACCATGCGTGCCCACTGCCATAAAGACCAAGGCGTGGATGGGTTTCGCGATTGGGACAATCTCAAACGGGGTCGTCCTGTGCAGTTACGTCAAGCCCAAGCCCTCCATCAGCAAGCGGGCGTCGCGGAGGGTCCCTGTGGTTTACCCGAGCTGCGTCAATTTCAACAGGCGATAGGATCTCAATATCAATTGCTGGTGATGACCCGGATGAAACCGTTTTTTCTCATCTTCAAAGGCCCTGATGCCCCTCATCAGATTCGTTTACTGAAATCCAACGATCATTTTGATGGTTGTACGTCTTTTCCTGCATTTGTGAACCGCTCGTATTATTGCCTGGACTGTGAACGAGGGTTCAACACCAACGATCGGACCCATCATACCTGTCAAGGGAGACGCTGCAAAGCATGTGGTCGATTTGATTGTCCTGATTATGTGCGTGGTACCCGCCCTACGGAGTATTGCCCCTTATGTCATAGCAAGTTTTACGGTGAGCAATGTAAACATCATCATGGGGTCAGCAAGCAATGTCAATCCATTAAAACCTGTCTCAAGTGCCAGGCCCAGTATACGGTCGTCCCTAACCAACGTCACCAGTGTGGGTACGCCAAATGTCCCGTGTGTCACGAATGGGTGTCCATCCAATACCATAAGTGCTACATTCAACCCGTGGTCGAGAATGAGGAAGAGACTGAACCCACAGATGAGGGGGAAGGTAGCATGGTGGCGCCACCCCCTCCCCTGTTTGTTTACGCCGATTTTGAAGCCATGCAGAATGCGGAAGGCGTGTTTGTGGCCAATTTGTTGTGTTATTCGTCCAGTGAAGAAACGACCATTCATGTGTTGGATGGGGAAGACTGTGCCCAACAATTTTTGCGCGATTTGGATGATCTCACGGACCTCCCAGACAGCGAGAGTGAGCGGACCATTCTCGTGGTGTTTCACAATTTGAAAGGGTTTGATGGCATGTTCATTTTGCATGAACTGTACCAGCAACAACGCGACGTGGTGGATCAATTGACGGTGGGCGCCAAAGTGTTGTCCTTCAGGAGTGGACCCCTCAAATTCATTGACTCGTTGTGTTTCTTGCCCATGCCATTGGCCTCGTTTCCCAGCACCTTCAATTTGACCGAATTAAAGAAGGGCTTCTTTCCGCATTTGTTTAATACTCCTGATCATCAACAGTATGTGGGCCGCATCCCCGATTTGGAATTTTACGATCCCGAAGGTATGATGGTCAAAAAGAAAGACGAACTGACGCGTTGGCATGCGGAGCAAGTCCGTCGTAATGTGCGTTTTGATTTCCGTCAAGACATGATCGAGTACTGCAAATCGGATGTGGCGCTGTTGAAAGCGGGGTGTGAAGCCTTTCAACAAGAATTTGAACAGCAGGCAGGTTTCAATCCCATGGCCAAATGCATCACCATCGCCAGTGCCTGCAATCTCTATTGGCGCAAGCACCATTTGACCCCCGACACCATTGCCGTCGAACCGCTCAGGGGGTGGCGAGGCGCCCAAGTCAATCAATCCCTCAAGGCCCTACAATGGTTGTACTACCAAGAACACCTTATTCCTAAAGAGGGGGCTAGTGCCGATCGCATTCGACATGTCCGGAATGGGGGCGAGCAGTTTGTCCGGACCCTCCTGAACGGTTATTTCGTCGATGGCTACGATCCTCTGACCCGCACTGTTTACGAATTTCATGGGTGTCTCTATCATGGCTGTCCTCGTTGTTATCCCGTGAGAGATGCCAAACATTATGCCACACCGGATCGAACCGTGGAGGAACTGTATCAAGCCACGCTCTCCAAACGCATGGCTCTGCTCCGAGCAGGTTACACCGTCATCGAAATGTGGGAATGTGAATGGGACCGACTGGTTGATGACGAGCCCGCTGTCTCACAGTTTCTGGCTTCTTTTGATTTGGTGGCTCCCCTGGAACCCCGTGACGCCTTTTTTGGGGGACGCACCGGTGCAGTAGCGCTGCATGCCGTGGCTGAAGAGGGGGAGGAAATACGTTATGTGGATGTGACCTCTTTGTACCCATGGGTGAATAAGAACTGCCCTTACCCTATCGGTCATCCCAAGATCATCACCCAACCCGCCGACCAGTCCCTGGCGTCCTATTTTGGTCTGGCTACGGTGGACATTCTGCCCCCGGCTGGTCTATTCCACCCGGTCTTGCCTGTACGCTGTGGCCAAAAACTCACGTTTCCTCTCTGCCGCGCCTGTGTCCAGACAGAGCAAGCCCAGCCCATGTTGACTAGAACCCAGTATTGCCCTCATTCGGATGCGGATCGTACACTACGTGGGACCTGGTGCACGCCTGAGCTGGTCAAAGCGGTGGAAAAGGGGTACACCCTGATCAAGATCCACGAAGTCTGGCATTTTCCCCCTGAGCAACGCCAAACAGGTCTTTTCGCCAATTACGTGAACACTTGGCTCAAACTCAAACAAGAATCCGCGGGGTGGCCCGGTTGGTGTCAGACCCTCGAACAAAAACGAGAGTATATTCTTCGCTACCAGGAACGGGAGGGGATCCGACTGGACATTGCTAGCATTGTCAAAAACCCTGGTCGTAAGGCCACCGCCAAACTCATGTTGAATAGTTTCTGGGGCAAGTTTGGTGAGCGGATCAACAAACCCACCACCGTCACCGTTCAAAACCCCGCCCATTTGTTCAGCCTCGTTTCCGATGCAGCTCTCGATCTCAGTACGCTCCGCCTCTGTACCGACGACATTTTGGAAGCCGTCTACACCAGTGTCCAAGACAATGCCGTCAAAGGTACCAAGACCAATATCTTTGTGGCGGCGTTCACCACGTGTCATGCTCGACTCAAGCTCTACGAGTCCCTCGACACCCTTCAACAACAAGTGCTTTACTATGATACCGACAGTGTGGTGTATAAGTGGTGTCCCGGTCAACCCAGCATTGCCACTGGGGATTTTCTAGGCGACATGACGGATGAATTGGACGGGGATGTCATCACCGAGTTTGTTTCGGGGGGCGCTAAGAATTATGGGTACACGACCCGTGGAGGTAAAGTGGTGTGCAAGGTCCGCGGTTTCACCCTGAATGTCCGGGGGTCGGCCATTCTTAATTTTCATACCATGAAAGAGAACATTCTCTCGGAATTAGACTCGCCTCAGGACACTCGCCGAAATTTGAACATTGTCAACCCCTATCATTTCACACGGGATTTGGAAAAGAAACACATTCAAGTGGTTCCGCGCGTGAAGCAGTATGGGTTGGTGTTTGACAAGCGCGTCCTCCAGGTGGCTACCCGATCCAGCTATCCCTATGGCTACGAGAGGATTGGGGACGAATTGGATCTTCTATTAGATTTGTAAAAAAGGGCGTGACGTCACTAGGACCTCACATACGTCCCGGATGTCATTTAGGGCACTGTCGAGATTTGTATTAAAAATGCTGTGGACCTCTATACAGTGTGTGTTTTTATGGATTGACGGGGATGCGAGGGGACTGGGGTTTCGTTTTGAGTGTCCCATTTGTACCCAGGTTCTACGCGGTCCTTCAAAACTATGCCAAGCATGCGGATCCACCTCTTGGGTGGGGTCACGTGATTTTTATGCCCAAATATGGGCATTGTGACGTCCATCAAGTCACATGGGCTAAATACTCGATGCTGATTGGTCGAGAAAATTTCTGCTGCGCTGTGATTGGTCGGGACCTATTGGAGCCTCCTATACTACTAAGGGTATCGAGTTGTATCACACTGAAAACGAGGAGAAATCTAGTGTTGTTGAGAGATGGAATAAAACAATGAAAAACAGAATGTGGAAGATGTTTACTGTGAATAACAACACTATTTACTGGGATAAGATAGATAAACTAGTTGATGATTACAATAAAGCTAGACATTCTAGTATAAAAATGACTCCTGTTGAAGCAAGTAAAAAGAAAAATGAAAGTAAAGTTTGGTCTAATTTGTATGGCGAATCTATTTACTTGAAACCTGGTAAATCAAAGTTTGCAATTGGTGATCGTGTTAGAATTTCTAAGTATAAGAGAAAGGTATTTGATAAAGGCTACACACCAAACTGGACAGAAGAAATATTCGTAATTGATAAAGTTTTACCTACAAAACCTGTTACGTATAGAATTGTTGATCTGATGGGAGAAGAAATTAAGGGTTCTTTCTACAACCAAGAATTACAAAAAACAAAACAACAAACATTTAGAATAGAAAAGATTATCAGACGAGATAATAAGAAAAAAATGGCATTAGTAAAATGGAGTGGATATCCTGATAAATTTAACTCATGGGTTAGTTCTAAGGATTTGGTTGATTTTTAATACGAAATTCGTATTAAAAATAGTTATTTACTCGTTTTCTTCATCAGAGATAACTAAGTCTTCGGCTACTTGATCATTTATCTCTTCAATATCGCTTTGCTCTTCATCTTCCTCTTCAATTGTTAGTAAAGACTCTCTAGGTTTGAGTGGTTTGACATAGCACTCATGTACTTTTATTTGTAAAGATGTCACAGTTTTACTTATGAAGATTCCTTCAATTATCAATGTCAATTTAACATTACAGTACTGTTCGATATATTTAAAAGGATTTAAATCTTTACCTCCCTTTCCCTTAAACAAAGATAAAATTTTCTTTGATTTTTCTGAGTAAATAAGTTTTGCGTAGACAACTGGTGCGGATGATTCATCAACTTTTGTTTTCTTTTTTCCTTTCTTATCTGTGTATTCTTCCTGTTTGTGATATAATGGTGAAGTAAGAGACGAAGCTAAATCTGGACCGTATTCATTCTCTAAATGTTGTTGAGATAGAGATGTTAAGTTATTAATAACTTCCAAAAATGCTTTTTCTTTGTTATTTGGTTCGCTATCTTTAGCCCAAAGACATACTGGAATACTATAACCTACTAGCTTTTTTGTTTCTTGATTTTTCTTTTCACTAACACCAAAGCTAAAAAGAAATGGGGTTTCGATTACAAGCGGTCCTTTCTTTCCATTCGAATATTTGATTTCAATTGGAATACGTTTGTATTTGATCTTGCTATCTTTGACTTTAAATTCTTTGGCTTCTTAAAAGATAATATTGTCTTGGGTAAGATTTTCGTAACTTGATAACAGCGTTTTGATTATAATTATTTAATCTTTAAACTTTTTTTTTCTAAAAATTCAAATTTGTATCTATCCCCATCTTTTTTGGAAATCACTGTTTTATAATATTTTACTTTTCTACAAATATTAGAAATAACTGAAAAGGAAATATCTAATTCGAGAGAAGCAGAAGTAATACTTTCATATTTTTTTTGTTTGTTGTTTTTTATATTAAATGATAATATAGGTTTGCTATTTCCTTTTCTAATATTTTCCACCAAAGTTAGTAATTGTAAATTGTAAATTTTATTATTTGTTCTAACAGAATCAATATGATCAATAACAAATCCTTCTGGAATAACACCTCTTACACATTCCCATTCAAACCTGTGTATATAGTAATTCTTTGGTTTAATCAATTTTTTATCATTAACTTTAAACTGATAGTATCCC